CTTTCCGACTCTGCCATTCACTTCTGCAACATAAATTTTCTTTGTCACTCTTGCCTCATTCATTCTTTCCACATGATCAAACCACTGAAGCATTCCTTACTTAATCCTGGTCACAACATCATCTTGGAAACTACACTCTTCTCTTATCACACAATTTCTTACCCTGTCACTCAGATTCAGCACTAACATACTCCTTAACGACCGCATTTCTACTGCGTTTATTCTACTCTCGTGCTTCTTCTGCCACACCCAACTTTCACTACCATACGTTAAAGTAGGGACCAACACAGATTAATATACATAATATAGGTAAATCAATAACAAATAATATAACATTGAAATAATATGTTCCTTACTGCCTGCAACACCATGGGAATTGTAAGCATTGCCAGCATTTTAATGTGTTTTAATGTTTGAAAAATTGTTGGTAGCATGTGAGGAAGAAAACTCTTAGTAAATTGCAGCGATGAACCGTCAAGTAGCAAAATGGCGCCGAACATAGGCCTCTCTAATAAATTGCCCCAGCCCCATAGAGGGATTTTTGCCATAATTGCAATGCTTGGTAGACAACACTTTTTTATTTTTAGTTATAATTAGGAAGACACTGACACCATCTCTTAGTTTGTTTTGGATATTATTCTTACACCGTCACTTCAGAGTCCAAAGTTACTCCCAAAGGTAAATGCGATAAATGATACAAAGGAACGCAAAATCTATTCTCAGCACCAGTGAATTGAGCTTATATGAAAGAACTCATCATTGTGATGAAATAATGTCCATGCAACGATGTACTGACCACGCCAAGCTTTTAAGAGACCAAATTAGAATTTCCTTCCAAGTGACCACAGAACTAAATGTCAATAGATATATTATCGTCATTCATCCGTAGGGCTAAGGTGCAACCTAAACCTCTAAAGAACTTCACAATGTGACGCATTAGTATATTAAGAAGAGTGACTGTATGTCAGCATAGAGAACTTGAAGTTGAGAAAACTCTTCTTCCTCTATTTTAAAAGAAACATGGCTCCATTGTTTAACCAATGATTCTCTGCCAATGTCAAGGTTGAGAAATACAAGAGGATATTACAGAAAAAAAGGAGAACTATTGGAGTATATTTTGACCACTATTTTTAGAGGTGATTTTGTGTGTAACCCAAGAAGTTGAGATACCTAAAAAGGAATTAAACACCAAACCTATGTTGTGAATAATATTAGTCATAATTTTATGTTATTAATATTCATAGTTTTATATTAAAAATTCTTAGATATTTTGCAAGCACATTAGCAAAAGGAAAATAAATCCAGCATAGCCCAACATAGAAAATCTGTTATAGATAATTTTTTAGTTGAATGGGTGAGATCCCCAACAAGCACCAGAATATCTGCGTAAAATATTAACATTTTTCTAACACTTCCCTGCCACATAGTTCAAGTGATAAAGACTGGAAATAGGAGTGTTGAGAATAACACCTAGAAATCTAACTTTATTGCGCATGGCCTGATTATGGCTTCATTATTGATTGGGAGAGCTATGGTAGGTATATTTCAGTTACACAACACAAAACACAACTGAAACACATTTAGGTGCCGAGAGAGGCCATGACCGTTAAGCCACTCATGTAAGTGCTGCAAGGCAGAGTTTATTAGACAGCAGGAAGCTTCACTGAAAGAGGAAAAGCGGATATACAATGCTGTGTCATCTGCATATTGTTTTGCCAAAGCAGCTTACAGTGGAGTCAAGATCTGAAGTGTAGATGTTGTATAGGAGTGAGCTAAGAACTGAGCCTTGTGGGAGACCGTTCCAGACGAGACTATTGGAGTAGGAGGAACCATGGGAACGGACATGGATGGAGCGAGACACAAAGAGATTGAAAATTATGTTAACCAACCTCATTTCTTTTATATTAATTTTGTGTAAAAATTGTGCAAATTTAAGCAATTTAATTGAGTGTACAGCAGCAGGATCTGATTCAATAGTAGCAATGTGTAATGTAAAAAGGCCAGCATCATTAACAGAGTAGTAGCACAAGAGACTGAATAGATGTGTTAGGTGAAATATATTTTTTGTCTCATTCTTAAGTTCGGACTACGCTGAACACTTCTGACCTAATCACTGTGGGGTGGTGGTACCACCCCATCAGGTGGATCACCATCATCCATTTCGTAAAAATAATGATGAAGTACTTATCAGTTTCTTTAACAAACACACCACCACCTTTAATAGAACACAACACAAAACTAGAGAGGGGAAAATTAGGAATTTCAACAGAATAACAAAATATTTATTAATAAAAACGGATCATGTGTATTAACCAACATAATCAAAACTTTTACAGATTCTTTCTCGACCAGGAGAAAACTCGACAAAGGCGTTGTTTAATGTCAATGTGCAAGAATATGGGAAATACCTACCTGTGTGTGTTTTCCGATAATTGAAGGATGTGGCGGCAATAAAATTCTGAATTTTATGATGACTTCTTGAAATAGCACAAATTCTGCTATAAATTTCTGGATCTCCGTGATTGGCGTAAAGAGTCGGTTCCATCTGGGAAAAAATTTAAGAAAAATTAATCCCAGGTGCTGCGGTAGGTTTTACGGAATATTACGTTTGCTGCTTATTTATCATTTATTCAGAACCTACCGGTAACATTTCATTAACTTGCGTACAATCCCATAAAACTAATAAGGCATCGTGTATCATTTTCATGTAGTATTTTGTTTTTGTCAGGACTAAATTCTTTGCCTTACTTTACAGGTTTTTTTAAGGGTTTAATTCAGTAATCTATGGGGTTTACTCGAATTAAACAACAACCTATTCATTACCTATTTTTTTAGTATAACGTCGCCTCTACACGTTGGCCAACACAGTGGCGAATGTAGTGGCCAATAGCATTGGCTAATGTCGCCTCTACACGTTGGCCAACACAGTGGCGAATGGAGTGGCGAATATATTGGCCGAGAGTTGGTGACGGCGTCCACACGTTGGAAGGTCGTTCAGTTTACTTCGGTTCGGGCTTTTTTTTATTTTTTTTCCCGCCCGATGCAAATATGGGCAACCCTCCGGAAAGCGGGGGGAGGGAGGTTGAGAATGCTCATAGCATACCACGCAGCCCGCTGCGTGGTTATGTGGAGACTTTTACCCACTAAACTCAACCTTTTAGGAATTGGCTTAACGATCTGACTAGAGATCTCTAAGAAAGGAGGGCCCAAGCGGTTCGGGCCAATGTGCGGACGAATTTATAAGCACCGTGGCGCAGTGGATCAGCTATGAGTGGCTGCGCCGGGCGCCGCGGGTTTGATCCCGCACGGAACAAGTATTTGTATGTCCTACAAATAATTGTTTCGGGTCTGGATGTGTGTCCTTGTGCAATTTATGTTTGTAAACTGCCTGCGTGATACGGGAGAAAATCCTAGTGTGGGGTTAACGTTTTTATAAAAGAATTATAAAATAATAGTGGTTATTAATGGGGCTGTATATAGATATACAATATACGATTAGCTTTATTTATTCTTTACATGCATAATAAACTGGAATAAATACCATTAATAAGAACTTAACTTATTTTAAAGTTAAAGGAGTTATAATCGATTAGTCTATGTTTTAAAATTGGGTTTTGATTTTAAAGTTTAGCAAAATATGTACTTGCATTTCAATCAGACATTTGATGTATATAAAAAACACCTTATAATTTATTTGGTAATTAAATTATTTTTTAAAAAGACAAAAACAATAGCAATAAATATAATTAACACTGACTTAATAATAGGTACTAATTATAAATTAGAACATAAATGAAAAACTCATAACGAGCAAAGTGGCTCAGGACCATGCTTTGCGGCAGTCTGTGGAGGAGGATGTTCAGTAGTGGACTTGTGAAGAGCTGCAATGATGATGATGATTCCAAAACTTGCACGATTAAATTATAAGAAATCGACGTTTTTTTATAGGATAGTGTGACAAACGAGCACACAGTTCACCTGATGGTAAGTGGTTACTGTGGCCCACAGACCTACATCTATCCTCGATTACGAATCAAAATGCAGATGCGTTGTCACCCGTGAGGACTAAGATGAAATGCCTCGTTTCCTTTAAAAAGGGTCTCTGGTTCTCTAAACTCACTATACGAAACACAGCATCATTAAGCTACTATTTTACGCTGATATTCTGTGAGAGCGTGGTCCTTCCCCGGTCGAGCCGACCTTCGTGCTGCAACTATACTTCTAATATATATGTAATATGTTCTAATATATCTATAATATGTAATAATGCATGGTTCTACCACGTATAAACGACTTGCTTCATTTTTTTTTTCATTTTAAAATTGTTCTCGTAATAATCTGATTGTAAAAAAATGTTAATTTCTTCTGATAAATAGCTTGTTGATTAAAACAAATGTTCAATAATAATTAAATCGCGTTAATTAAAGTAGTAGGAATGTTTAAAGTTGAAATTGGCACTAGAAGACTGGTAATTGGGGCATCCACCCTAAAAAGCTTGAATATAAAATTTAAATCAGATACGTGTAATCACTCTGGGAGCTTGTAGCAAATTAAACACGCGGCCAACGTGTGGACGCGGCGACCAAACTCCGCCGACAATCCTTTGATCTTTTGTAAAAAACCGACACCACACGGATCTCGCGCCAACTTGCGGGCCATCGTTCCAATACATACCAATGAAGCCCAAACACCCCGTCTACACGTTGGCCAATGCTATTGGCCACTACATTCGCCACTGTGTTGGCCAACGTGTAGAGGCGCCGTAACCCCTTGTCTGTGCGTCGACCAGCAGTCGGCACGTCAAATTATTTGCGCGTCTGTGAGCCGACCAGCAGTCGGCATCGTTTCCTGTTTATGTTTTCGCGCCTGTTACTCTTTGCTCCGTAAAAAAAAAATATCGGCACTTCAAATTGGACGCTGTCAAACCAACCGACTCCGGTTTTGTCACGCCTTTGATAAGTTTTCTTGAATCAAATTTGTTGTGATTTGAAGGAGAAACCATGGAAAGGTAAGTACTTTCACATTTTTATTACTGGGAAACATATAATTTTGCTAATTTAATTGTAAAAACCAGGCCAAACCAACGACATAGCCGTCTAACGAACTATGAACGTACTTTTATTTCTGCAATATTTGGTCTAAAAAGTGAATAAAACCGTAATGTTTTGGAGAATTTAAGCTACTAATGTAATTAATTTGCAATGGATGACAATGGTAAACGTGTATTTAGCTTTGAAAACTTTAATTTTGGGTCTAAATACGTGAAGGTTATTTCTTTACCGTCAGTCGGCAGGGGCACAGACAGGGTTTTGGCAGTTGATGACGTCATAACGGCGGCATGTCGGGCATGCTAGAAATTATAGATACGCTTTTGTATTTTCTGTTTGAAGTTATTTTTAAATATTTTGCATGTAATGTTACATCACTTTTAATTGCATAAACATTTAGTTACTGTGGAGATATAGTGGAAGTTGCATACTTTTTTGTAGTATGTCATTTCTGTATGCTTTGTATGGTGTGCAATAAAGAATATTAAATAAATAAATATAAAATATGGGAGCGAAAAAAACTTAGCAGAATTTTTTGTAATTTTTTATTTTTTATGTTTGCATCATGTAGAGGGCGCATATACTAACACTTTTTGTCGTAAAAAGTTTTGGGCTTGGATGAACCTGAGCAAAGATATTTAGGTATTTGAAGTACCAAGATAAAAATACAGCATTTTTGTTTCTTTTTTCTTTTTTCTTCGTTTGCGTCGTGTCGGGGGGGGCACCCAAACAAACAATTTTTTCCTGAACAATTTTGGACTTAGACGAACCTGGGCCGAGATAAAGGCATTTGAAGAGCGTCCAAGCCCAAAATTGTTTGGGACAAAAAAGTGTTTGTTGCACGATGATAAATTTAAAAATAAATAATTTTATTTTTAACTTTGACAACCAATTTTTTTTTTCAAAAAATTTCTCCAAAAATAATATTTACATATTTTCTAGACGTCTTATAGTAAGTTAAAAAAGTTACGCATGGACATTACTAAATTAGCTCTAAGGGCACCTTTTGCATTCATGTCTCGCGTATCTCTTGCATTTTTGTGTTTATTTTCTCTTTGGTTTGCATGCTTTTTGTTTTTGCTTTTTCTTTAAAGAGGTGGACGTGGTCGTGGGCGTGGGCGTGGTGCGTACGCTGGTGGTGAAGGGGCGCATGCGCACACTGGTGGTGAAGGGGCGCATGCGCACACTGGTGGTGCGCGGACGCGTGGTGGGCCCACTAGCGGTGCTGGCCACACCGAAAGGCCTTCTGCTGTTGATCCGTAATAACAAATTTAACAACTAACAAGTTTCTTCGTTTTTTTTTAGCAACATTAATATTCTGCATTAATATTTTAGAGTTTACTGTGGCATGGTGGGGGAGTTGCCGGTGGGGAGGCCTCTAGAGCGGCCGCTGACTCAGCGGCGACCTCGAGTACTGCCTGCCGCAAGGCGAGGGTAAGCACTTCGAAGTTGGTTTTGTTACTCGATTCACGTGCAGGGCATTGAATTTAACTTTCTTTTTTAGTCCCGTGCCTGTGTCGTTGTGGTCGTCCATGGACCTCCTCACCGGCAACCACCCGACCCAGCCGCTGAGCCCTCAGGAGGACCGAGCTGCAGCGGCCCAACCAGCAGTAGTTGATATGGAGCTTTGCTCAGTTCCTTCACCTGCTTTGTAAGTTTTTACTTATATTCATATTTTGAAGCTAAACTTTTCGTAACTGGTCATAAAATAACGTATTTTTAACACTATTTATGTTTTACAGACACGTTGAAGTTGGAGGGAGTGGAACCTCCACACCTAATCGGACTCCAACGTCCCGAAAGCGAAATGCGTAAGTTTTTCCTTTATTGCTTTATTAAATATTGATAGTATTTGACTTTGAACTGTTAACTGTTCGAATATAACTATTACGATAGAAATCAAAAAACAACATTATTTTTTCAGATCGGACCACAATGACATGGGGGCTAAACGGCGTCTGTGAGTGCCTATTAATAAATATATATTCTATGTGCAGAAGTGTCTACTTAATATTTTGATTCTTAATAATTTATTTTCTTCTTTTAGAATTACTTCCTCGTCATCTTCGTCGCGTCCTCTAAGGGATATTGAAATATCCAACGCCCTTAATTATGGTAAGGGAAAATAGTTTTGCTTTAGCTGCTAATAAAAATACAAATAAAACCCGTACTGTGTTCTATAAACATCAGCTCTCATGTTACTGATTCTGTTACATAAGTAGTAACTTAATACAGTCAATTATTTTTAGAATAATTGACTGTATTAAGTTACTACTTATGTAACAGATTATTTTAAAAAAAACGTAAATTATTACAGTCGGCCAATGTGGTTATTTTATCTTATATTTTACAGGCAGCGACGAGGACTCCGAAGAAGATGGCGAAGAAGAAATTGGACTCCAATCCACCATAGTCCCCAGGGTGGTACAAATGTTCGCGGCATCGGAGGATGAGGGTGAAGGTGGGGAAGTAGACGCATTTATTTCTTTTTCCTGGCCTCCGACATCCAATGATCACCCACCTGTCCCTAACTCTTCCGGTCCCATTCCTTCCACATCCCATGTTCCTGATTATTCTGTTCCGCCTTCCTTACCTACCCATACTCCCTCGTCCCCATCCTGTCCCATGTCGGAGCCAGGAAATAAATTTGATTTTAAATGGAGGGGGTTCCCGCAACCTCAAACTCCTCCTGAGCTGAGGAGGGAACCGTTCTCCCAGATAAACTGTGGGCCCACGGTTCCATATGCGAGCCCATATGACGCATTTACTGCCATATGGGATCGCGATATAATGGAACACATTGCCATGGAGACGAATCGATATGCACAACAGCTTGCAACGGTCATGCTGGTGGACGGTTCGCTCTGTCCGAGCAGCCGCATCACCAAATGGAAAGACACCGACGTAAGTGAATTGCACGTGTATTTCGCTATAATCCTCGCTACCGGGATTGTGGTGAAATCACGTCTCGAGGAGTACTGGAACAGCACGCTGGACATTTTCAGTACCCCCGGGTTCACTGCGGCGATGACGTATGACCGCTTCATGCTGTTGAGCAAATGTCTCCACTTTCAGGATAATGACGGTTGCGATCCTGAACTGATGACACGGGCTCAGGCCAAGTTGTTTAAGGTGCAGCCAATTTTGGATCACCTTAACAACAAATTCCAACAATTATATGTTTTGGGTCAAAACGTGTCTGTGGATGAAAGTCTGACCATGTGGAAGGGTTGGTTAGATATTAACCAATTCATCCGCAACAAAGCAGCTACAGTAGGAATTAAAACATACGAGGTGTGTGAGTCCCAGACTGGTTACTTGTGACGCTTTGAAGTCCACGCAGGCCATGATACCTCCTCAGACCCACAAGAGGACAGTCCAGTTTCTGGGAAAGTGCCAGCTCTTGTGCTCAGACTTTTAAATGGTCTTGAGCATAAGGGCCACACGATTTGGATGGATAATTTCTACAATTCTCCCGCGCTTGCGCGAGAAATGAAAGTTCGGGGGGTTTGACTGCGTGGGGACCTTACGAACGAATCGTCAGTTTGTTCCCATTGAGCTGACGAATCTTACGAAAAAAGACATGGCGATAGGTCAGGTGAACGGTTGCACTTCGGGGGATGTGGACCTCATCGTATACCGGGACAAAAACCGTGTGGCATTTGTCTCGACATACCATGGGCTAGCAACCGCGATGTGCGGCGATACACACAAACCCACCGTCATACCAGACTATAATGTCTGTATGGGGGGGGGGTTGATCGCAAAGACCAGATGCTCGCCATGTACCCCATTGAAAGAAGGCGGAACAAAATCTGGTACAAAAAGTTTTTCAGGAAGCTCTTGAATGCTAGTGTTCTAAATGCCTACATACTCCACAAGGCACACCGCTCAATTTCTCACCGAAATTTTCGCCAAACTTTGGTGAGGGAATTGTTGGCAGCACACACACCACCAGCACCTACCCGTGCACTGCCGAACACCTGGCATTTTCCGGGGCAATACGATCTGCTCCCGGGAACAACACGGAACGAGCACCAGAGGCGTAGTTGTTCAGTTTGCAAAAAGCGAACATCAAGCTTTTGCAAAGCCTGCAACGTGCCCCTGTGTGTGTTTGGTTGCTTTGAGTCATATCACACTTCACAGTAAACTACACAAAAACACTGTCTTACACACAAGGTATTTAGGCACTAGTATTGAAGGTCTATCTGAAAAACACTTGTACTTGAGCACACAGTCCACCTGATGGTAAGTGGATACATCGTCACCCCTGAGGACTAAGATGGAATGCCTCCTTTTCAGTAAAAAGGGTATGCCGCTATTTTAATGGGAAGGTTAAAGTAGGTAGGTGTTACCATCCAAATCGTAATGGGAAATTTGGAAAACAAAAAGCTGCACATTTATATACTATAGTTTGTATATGTATGTATGTATGTATGTGCGTATGTATGTATGTGCGTATGTATGTATGTAGTGCCTCAGATAGAGGGTTATGTTTTTGTGATAAATTTGTTTCTAACGAGTTATAATATGTATGTTTGTCTTTTGAAATTTTGGCTCATCATAAAATTGTTGGAACCTAGGTCCGTGTCATTCATTCAAATTGCAAACGTCATTATACTGATAAGGGATCGTACGAAAATTAGGGACGCAATGAAGGGGGGGGGGGGGGTTGCTCAACCTAATTTTCAGTACGTTTCCTTGGCATTTTGTAACATATGTATATATATGTCCATGATCGGTAGCCATGTACATATATATATACATATATTATGTGTATATTGTACATATTTGTACATATCGAACAATGGTAAATTATGACCAACCATGCTTGGGTATCAACATGCTGCCTAAACCTTCACCTTCAACCTACAAGCCGCCGGTTCATTTTACCTCTTGCTGTGATTCGTGAACAAAGCATGATTTAAAAATTATGTCATATTAAGTAGTATCCCAAGTGATTGTCATTATTAGACCCGTTATGTTTACTATAATGTTTCAAAATAATGAGGGTTACAAAAATCACCTAGTCATTATCTTGTTGAAGACAAGTCGTATCCACACTTTGCTAGCATGTATGAGGCTAAAATGTTTAGATATTTACTACTTTCATGAGCTTGATGTTTGAAATATTTCTTAGAAACAACTTGTTTTTTTTTTGTTTAATTGATTACTAAATTTAATGTATATCTTGAAACAATAATTTCTTTTCCATTTGTAAGTAGATATTATCCAAAATAGACATGTTTTTAGAGGTACTAATTTTGGTGTCAAATTACATACCATCTTTGTTCCACTCATACTCAAATTTATATTGAATGTAACATGATTCTTTTATTTATATTTGTAGCTTATAAGCTTAAGTTGCTGCAAACAAAAGGTCTTTGTCCCATTCGCTCAGGGTCATTTTAGATAACAAGAAATGTGAGACCCTTTTTTGTTTACTTTAAGTGGAAGTATTTTTTGTGTCAACTTTGTAAACATGTGTTGTGTGAAAAAAATGTATAGGACCTTGTTAATTTTGGTTTGTATTGTAAACTTAGATATGTAATGTGTTAATTAAAATTAGTTTCAGTTTAATTATTGTTTTATTTTGTACAAATTATCAAGAAATACAATAAAATTTTCTGTACCCCATATTAAGTAGTAATGTTTCTATGGCAAATAACTACCAATATGCTAAATATGTAAAGATATATACAAAATAGGTAATTAAAACCAATATTTTAATTGTAAGCGTACAGCATTCCTTTAAAAAAATCGAGGAAATCCAACTTTAAAAAAAACATATGCTTATAATATCCCTGTCTGTGCGCTTGCCGACGGTCGGCATCACAGATACGCAAAATGGCGGAAACATTAGTCACACTGTTTAGAGGATAACCACTTGACTATAGATTACTGTGTATACACTTGACTGCGCATACAATGCGGTGACGCTCGAAAACTATTATTCTTTTTTTTTTTTTTTTTTATATGGCAATCTAACAATTACTGCCAACCTCCAGTCAATAAAAATACTTGTAACTTGAAACGAAACGACGGACAATCTAAAGAGAAACTACGATTCTGATTAAAAACCAAAATCATAATGTTAAGAACCATAGAATACTATAATAATGAATCATGAAATGACTTGTACTGAAGTATATTAAATAAATGATGGATGTTAGGTTGAATTAAAATAATACTAAACTCAATACCACATTAAAAATAATCAGTATTACTAAATAAAGACGATTGATAGCTAAATAATGAATAAAATTTTATAATCTAATATTATTTAAATCTAAAAATTCCATAAGACAATTGAAAACATTTTTACTTTTTTTAGAAAAAATTAAAAGAGAACAAATTTCTGTAGGAAGAGGAATTTTAAGATTTACCAAAGTGTTAAATAATGAAGTATGATCATATAAAGGACACGAGAAGAAAATATGGTTGAGTTCACCAATATCCAAACCACATTCACATATTGAAGAATTTTTAATATGAAGCCTAGCAAGGTGAACCGAATTACAGCAGTGACCCAAGCGCATTCTACATAACATTGATGTATGTTTCTTATTTAAGGATAATTTATAAAACCAAGGCGTTAGACACAGGAATGATGGGTTGAATTTTGGCATAGTGACAGCCTTTTGTCGTTTTGGTTTTGTTCCAATGTTTTGACCGTCTATCTCTATATACTAATTTCGTAGTTCTTATAAGGTCATAGCAATAATTTTTAAATAAGAAAGTATCCCCACAGACTATAGCTTGTTTAGCAAGTTTGTTAGCATATTCATTACCAGATATACCAATATGACTCGGAATCCAAACGAGAGAAATGTTGATGTTTTGGAATTGGTATAAGAATAGAAGTTTCTTAATTTCAAATATCAAAGGATTGCGGGAAATGTCATAGAAAGGATTACATAACAATGCTTGTAAAGAACTAAGAGAATCTGAAAATATCACGCTTGATTTTAATTTAAAAAGATAGCAATATTTTATTGATTGTAAAATGGCTAACATTTCTCCAGTAAAAACTGAAGATTCGGGAGGACTTTTCATTTTTTGAACTATTCTCCAATTTTGATGGAATATTGCATATCCAGTACAACCTTTTGAGTTAGTCTTAGAAGCATCTGTAAAAATATAATGACAATCTGGGAAATTCTTGTCCAACGTAAATACAAATCTTTTATTTGATTCAAGAGAAAATTTATTTAATCCTATATCTAATATAACATTGGGTTTGAAAAGTGCAACTTCAAACGAATTGGAGAAAAGAGGCAGAGTCGCCGACCTATAAATAGGATCTAGTAAGGAATTATAATGTTCATAGCTTTTAACTAGATTAGGAGTTTCTTTATTACGCCAGTATTTTCCTGAATTAATTGAAATGTACTGAGAAAGCAAACGAATTTTAGGGAGTAATGGATGGTTT